GGCCGCCTGGCCGGCGGTGGAGACCTGGGCGCCGGCGCCAGGGCGACAGGTGGCCGCGGCGCGTGGAGCGTGGAGCGCGGCAGAACGTTCCGGGCCCTCCGCCCGTGGCGGGTTCTAGCTGCAGCGTGTCAACCCAACCGTCAGTACCGCTTTGACACCGCCCCAGCAGGCAGACCTGGGTTTAGGGCCCACCTTCAGCACTTGTGCAGCCAGCAGCCAAAAATAATTACCCAGAGAACACTTAACAGTATACCCCTGAGTGCTGGGGTTCCAGCCCTTGCCACCAAACGTGGTGCCTGCCCCAGGGTGCTCACGGTCTAGGGGAAAACCCACACACAAAGCGTTAAAACGGTGGGAAGGGCCGTGAAGATGGCATATGCACGCAGTAGATTTGTAAACCAGGAGCTTTTATCAGGGTCCCCAAACGCAAGCCTGCTGGCACTGAACTTCAGTGTGAACCCGGGAATTCCAGGGTGAAGACCGACAGAGCAAACTGGTTTCGTTGGGCGACAGTGTGGCTTGTGTGAGGGAAACAAGGTCAGCGGAGCTGGCCTGCAGAGGGTCAGGAGAAAGCAGGTCCCTTCACTTTAACTTCCAACCTGTAAAACGGAATTGTTCCTACTCGTTGAGGGGGGAGGTTGAGTGTGTAAACGACCCAGTGTAAATGCTGAGTGTAGATGGCTGAGCAGGTGTGCTGTAAGGGAAAGCTGTTCCAGATGGAGGCGCTGACTAAACCCTGTGTGCCCGCCTCTGAGCAGACTCAACCCTCCCCTGTCCCCTTGCCTCACCAACAGAGGGGGATTTCTCAAAGCTTGCTCTCTAAAATGATGGCTGGTTTAGTTGCCCCCTTCCACCACTCCACCTCCAGAGAGATTTTTGCTATAGGGCTTTGTGTGCTTCCTGCAGAGACAGACAGAAAGCTAGAAATCATCCCCAAGGGCAATGACCACACCACAGTCTCTACTCCATTCTCCTCTTGGGAATTTGGGCACACGTGCACATGTACCCAGCATGTTTTAAGCTGCTGGATCCGGGACTCGAACCGAACTGCAGTCGACTATATGGGAGTCCATCTGCTGGTCTCCAGTCATTTATTTTTGAAACCTGTAACTGGCATTTTACCCTAGCTTCGAGGATTCAGAGAGAAATCAGACATGAGCCCGCCCCTCCTGGAGCCATGTGGGGTGGGCCGAGCGACATACATGACAATTTCAGCCTGGCAGACCCAGAGGAAGGGTTTGACCTCTGGCTTTGCTTCCTGCCAGGAGCACATTTCCCAGGAAGCTGCCCTGATACTTCCAGGTCCACCCGCCCCATTCCTGGAAAACATATGGCTCACACTGGGTGGCTCAGCCCTTGGTGTCACCCACTGAAATTGCCCGGATGACTCAAGGGTCAGCAACTCTCCTGGTCCCTTACAGAGGATCTCTCAGATTTGGGAGAGTATTTGGGGCTTCAGGAAAACACCTATCAGTTCCTTGGTATTTTGAATTGGCTAGACTGATCCCAATTTCTCCTTTGGTTCTGTACAGACGGTTGGTGTAGACGCAACCTACAGGAGTAGGCTGGGAGTTCCGCAGGGTGAGGGACACCGTTGAGGCAGGAGCATGACACCTTTTGTGGGATGGGAAAAAAAACAGAAACAGAGGGTAACAGAAGACTGCCAGAGGGAGAGGGGGAGAGGGCCCTGCTCCTCCTGGCAGACCATAATAGTGTGCCCAAGAAGGGACACTCCAGGCGTGGCGGTCGCAGGCCTGGTGCTCCCCAGCTCTGTGACACCCTGGGCAGGTCACTTCTCTCTCACGTTGTGAGGACTGTGAGAGCTTAACAGGTGCTTGGCATGTATCGACAGTCGGCTGTGCGGGGTTAGTGACGACTCCCGCTCTCTCCTTCCCCTGGATGAACACAGGGGTGACAGACGTGCCTACCTTGGAGGGTTATCCTGGGGATTCAGTGAGCACCCGAAATGCATGGAGCAGTGCCTGGCATGTGGGAAGCTTCCACTACCACCATTGTCATTCTTCCTCTCTCTGGTCAGAAACTGACGAGAGGGTGGGGTTGGGGTGGGGAAAGGGACTGTGCAGGGTGATTAGTGGGGGAGCTGGATTATCTGGTATGGTGTGGTTTTGCCAGAAAGCCCCAGCCAGGCAGGAGAGAGGGGTGTTCTGCATGATAAAGGGCATCCTGGACAGCCTCAGTGTCAGAAGGCCTGGGAGTGCCAATGTCTTTGAAGGCTCAGGCCAAAGAAAATGCAGCCAAAGTCCTGGCAAGAACTAGGGTTGAAAAAGGTCCAAAGTGATCTTTTTCAGGATGTGTCTCTAACTCACAGCTGGGTATGGGTCCCCTTCAAGGAGCTGCCACTGCCCCTTGGTGACATCCGCCATCCGTGTGGATATGGCGATTGCCCGAGACAGGCCCGGCTCTGTGACTGACCTGGGAACTGTGGGTCTAATTTGTAACCCCTGTACCCAGTCCCAAATGCATGAATTGAATGCATGAGCAAATAAATGAGCACAAACCCCGAGTAGCGAACTTCTCACTGCGTCTAAGTGTTTTTAAAAAGAGCTATGAAGGGACCAGCAGTTAGCGTAATGGCTATGTCACTGGACTCCCATGCAGTCGACTGCAGTTCGAGTTCCAGACCCAGTGGCTGAAAACTCACGCCGGGCATGAGTACTTGCGTGCCCAGGATCCCGAGAGAATAGAGGAGAAGGGATTGCGGCATGGCCATCCCCCCTGGGGGATGTTCTCGCTTTCTGTCTGTCTCTCTCTGTCTGGTGAACGTACGCGCCCTGTGGCAAAAACCTCTCCAAAAAAAAAAAAAAAAAGAGCTATGAACATAGGGAAAAAAACCCTCCCAAAAAAAAAAAAAAAAGAGCTATGAACATAGGGAAATGGAACTGATGCTCTGAAGCCTTTGCTGAATGCTGAGCATTCTCTCTGGTTAGTGGCGGACTCCACAGCTTCGCTGTCCGATGACAGTGCCTTTGTGACATCCCATGCATCACAGAAACGTTCCACGGAAGTTTTTGCATCTGTAAAATGGGAATTATTGTATCATTACTCAAAGTCCTGTTAGAAGCACTAAACAAGATATGTCCATGCAATGCTAACTTCAGTGCCCAGCGTGTAGTACGGTAAGTGCTCAGTCAGAGCCGTGGTTATTATTCTATTTATTAATCCTTCCAATGATCTCCACTCTGATGAGGAAACCGAAGGCCGCAGGTGCAGGTGGGTGGTATTGATTCTGAACTCAGTCCCATCTAGAAGCAAAAGCACACTGCAGACACTCGCCAGACAGACTGTATGAAATGAAGTCAACTTTATGTGCATTTCATTCATTACTTAAAGCACTTGCCTATGTGAAATCTTACGAAAAAAGCTGCACAATTATAATTTATGTGCCTTTCAAGTTCAGGTATTTTATCATCTAGATAAATCTTCCCTGCATCTATGTTAAACCACTCTGGGCTGTCGAAGCTCTTAAATAAAGCGGCTCGTCCTGACCAGTGTCTTTCTTTGTTCATTTATCAGAGTTCCCCATAAAGACGGGCAGATCCCATTTTGCAGGGAAGAGCTCGGGATGGCAGCTCCTGCCCAGTGTTTTAGCCATGCAGACCTGCATACTGGTGTTTAACAAACCACGGCAGACTCACGATGTCTTCATGATCTCGCTCATAAACTCAGAAGCCCCTGTGCTAGGCTAGGAATTAGGAGTAGAAAGGCATTCTATTGCTAATGTGAGTCTGAAGAATTGGCTCTGGCTCTGGGGAAATCTAAAGTTCTCCACCACCGGGTTTTGGGTGAAAGTGTCTTGAATGAGGTGACAGCGCTCTCTGTCCATCCCACCCGGACTGCTGTGTCTGTCTGCAGCTTCCTACCCAGTGAAGGCTGGGGTGCACCTCTGTGCCTCCTTCCTGTCCCTGCCGTAGGTCTGAGCTGCCCTAAAGCCAGAATCTTTGAGCTAGTTTCAGAAGCACAGTCTGTTCCAGGGGATCAACTCCTCGGCTTCCCAGAGTACTGTGGGCATGTCCTGCCCCAACTGCCTATAGTTAACCACCTCTGCTGGAGGGGGCCATGAGCACTTCCTTGGATAATAGATCAAGTGTTCCTGGCACCCAGCTCCAAGCCTGGCACTTGTCCCCCCACTCCTTCCCGCCTCTCTCCTTTCCTTCCTCCCTTCTTGCCTTCTACACAAACTTCAGGCAGTGTCCTGGGATCCAAACTCCACTCAAAATGACACAGTCCTCACCCTCATGGGGGTCACACATTATGAGACATTTAATACAAACAGCCTGAAGCACGTTAGCGCTCACAGCAGGATTACAGACTGGGTTAACTGCCGCGACAGAGAAGCCTGGGGTGCCGTGACAGAGGGTAGTCGTGGCACGGATACAGAGTCCGGATCGATATGGACAGAGTGGGCCCGTACATGGCAGTTGGAGACCCTGTTCATTTATTCATAGACCTTTGAAGACCTTGCAGTGGTCTCTTTCTGTAAGCTTTGTTTCATGGCAGTAGTATTTTATGCTGCCAGAGTACTCTTACTGAGAACTTTTAAAACTACTTGTGCCTAGGCTTCCAAACGGAAGAGTAATGCCGAAGGCCACATTTACTTACCCGTCAGGGTTTACAGAGCCTCGTCTTGAGTGTCCTCTCACTGGCTGTGCCAGTTCTCAGTGTCATTTGTCTTATACCGGGTGGCGGCAGAAATGGGGATCCAGGTCACCCGAGGGCAAGCCTGGCGAGGCAGGCAGTGAGCCCCTTCCCTTCCAAGTAGCAGGGCTCGCTCGAGAGCCCATTTGTTTTTCTGCTCCTTTGATACCCTCAGGCATGCCAGGGTGAGGACCCTCCCTAGATTCTATTAGGTGTAGCTGGCAGCCATCTGGGTATACAGGCAAGGTGAGCTGCCACT